AATCTGAATCCTTGTCCACCAACGCGTGTCACTCACTGAAACGACTGGAGAGAAGACATGAGAAGACGATGGTGGCACCCTACAGGTCGCCCCGGTCGCAAAAACCTGTGGCCCACACGCGCGCGTGACGCGTGTGTTCAGGATGGACTTCAAGCAGAAGCACTCAGGAACCCATATGCCGCCTGGCTCACACCAAGATGATGTTCACCCAGCGAGAAGAGACTCGTTTTTTTTCTCCAGCCAAGACGACCGGTTCACCCTTATGGTCTTCCGGGTGGTGTTTGTTCCTTGCTTTTTCCACTTCTCAGGCCGCTGAGTTCATTCGCAATCATTGGGACCAGCTTTCGGAGACAGGACCTGGAGTGAGTTGGAAGATTTCCCTCTGAGCTCAGAGAAATCGAAAGAGCTCAGAGGAGTGCCCGCATGGCGGCCCTTGCAGACACGTCTGATGGCTCCTTAGATCACGCTGAGAGGGCTTGCTGGGCAGAGTGCCATCGCTTCTACCCCAGGCCAACTTGAGTGAATGATCCGATTGGGAGTGCCACGTGAGACGACCGAGACGGTCAGTACAGCGTTCCGGCGGCCCCTGAGTCTGGTTTGAAACATGGATGGGTGGGCAGACTCAGAGCGCCGCCATGGCGCAAGTGCGCACTTTTTTTAAATGCCAGAGAGGGCCACATACATAATGGGTATGCTCCACGCTCTACAGATGTCACCTGTAATTATCACCTGTGGTCGGTGGCTTCCATGAAGGCTTCACACACGTTTAACCAGTTGTAGGGTAGTGTGATGATGCTACGTGCTGGGCCCACTGGGAGGTAACCATTGACCTGTTTCTCTGACCATGGTGGCACCATGAAAACAGTGAGTCTTCACGTTTTCATGAATGTGAAGACACTCGATCGGGAATCGATCTATTATTTGGGTGTAATTCGGAATTCCCATGGAATTCCACCAAAAATACAACCAGTTCTTCACATCTTTGACGAACTCAGGCCCAATGGGCCCACTGTGTGTGTGGGTCCGTTAGGGGCTGCAGTGTTGGGGTCGTTTGGGGGTCGCCAACAAGGACAGAAAAGCTTCGTGGTTTTGCCCCGGGGTCTTTCGTGCCAACAGAGTCTGTGGCCCTTTCTGGAGCAAATTTGTGGAACCCTGGAGAACTTTTTAGACCAGTATGAAGGCAGCATGAACTTTTTAGACCAGTGGACAGTGGATGCTGCAATGCTGTGGCGTTATTCCTTTCTTCAACCCTCAGCCTGTGGTCCTGGAAGCACCTGACACAGAACATGCAGTTCAGCATAGTTCAGCTGTTTTTGCTGGATCTCAGTCGGAGGACGTCGGAGGTTTTGACCGGTCTGTTGGTGAGGGATTCTCGCACAGTTGGTGCTGCTACAACATGTACAGATGTTCCAAGCTGCCACAACATGTACTGGTTAAGCTAGATATATAAGGTTAACTAATGTTATATATAGTGATAGAATTACATGATGACATAGGACCCTTTGACGAGTTTGCGGCGGATTCGTTGTTTCAGGATGACTGCTATATACATATATATATATATTGGTTGTGCTTTTTGTGCGTGCTTGCTTGCTTCCTTTCTTGTTTGTTTGTTTGTTGGTTGGTTGGTTGGTTGTTTTGTTTGTTTGCTTGTTTGTTGGTTTGTTGGTTTGTTGGCTTGTTGGTTGGTTGGTTGGTTGGTTTGTTTGTTTGTTTGTTACTTTGTGTTGTGTTCGTTTGTTTTTGTGTGTTTGTTTTTGTTCGTTGTTTGGTGTGGTTTGGTTTGATTTGGTTTGTGTTTTGGCATTTGTCTGGTTAGTCTACTGGTTTGTTGGTGGTTGTTTGTTGTAGACACATTTGATTCAATGAAGACACTAGTCATGGAAGTCTTTCGTCAATCTTGCCCAATTACTCAAGCATTGTCAACTTGTCAACCATGTTTTCTTTCCCGGGCCTTTGTGTACACTTCTTTTGGCCTGAAGCTTCTTGCAGCGTCAAGCAGTTCACCAGAAAAGGCCAAGATGAGGGGAGAACGGAATCTGACCTCTCCCAGCTTTTCATGGCGATCGTCGACCCACGGTTTCGGCACATCGTGCAGGTGTCCTATGAGGCCTTTCGCCACTTCGCACATGGGATCACATCGGTCTTAACATGTTCACTGCGTGGTCGGATTGAACATCGACAGAACTCTCGCATTTCTCGCACCGCCGCTTCATCATGCACAGCTGGAAAATGGGTCTACATTTCTTACGTTATAAACGGATGCATTGAGATTTGTGAAGCGAAGCACGGCAACATGAAATACTCAAGCCACTCACCTCTGAGACACAGAGAGTTTGCATTTACTGTAGGCTCTCCAGATACCTCCTGAGGATGATTTCGGAAAGTATACTGTACCCAAAGGGTCTGAGCCCAAATGGAAGCCTTTACAGAGAGTGGGTGAGTGGCCACCAGTGGCCACCTGGCCATGCCGAGAACCCTGGAGAATGGATTTGATGATTGAAGCCGGCTGAAGCTGCTCAGGTGTCTTGAGGTGGATGAGACTCAGCAAGTTGCGGACTGAACCTGAAAGAACAGAGGCTCCACTACTCCACTCTTGTCATTTGGAGTGATATGTGATGAGCACTGAGCTGAGTGTCCACAGATGCCAGCAGATCTATATATATAGCTTATTTTATGTTAGACTTGATAAGTTTTTTCAACTGTTCGGCTCAGCTGGTTGGAAGTGGAACACCCCGGCAGCCTGATGATGGGTCTGAAGTTGAGAGCCTCGAATCTGATACACCTGCTGCAGGGCACCTAAGGTGAAACACCGCGGCTGATCCAAGCTCTTGTCATGGAGGCAGCAGATGGAAAAGAAAGCGTGCCAACAACTAACTCCGCACAATGAACAGCAAGAACCCCTGACAGCAAAAGGGACGCATAGGAAAGCTATGATTGTCGTGTTTGTTTGCCTGCAGTAGCATCCTCCTTTTTACTGGTGAACGATTCAATGAGACAGAGGCAAGACATGTAGCATAATCTACTTCATTGCGGTTCAGTTGGCAAGACATGCAGCCCTTTGGCGTCAGAGCGCCTCTGGCAAGTATTGCGCAGCATCCGCTGAGCGGTTGAGAACCTCAAACCTGAGCGGCTGAGACCGACCCAAAATCTCACATGTATTCCTGGCCAGAAAACAAGCAGAAAGACAAACAAACAACTTATTTTGCTTCGAGTGATCCCCACCATGACATTTCAATTTGTTTTCATGCCATGGTGAGGAGCATGTTGCCATGGTCGTGGATTTTGTGGGTTTCCATTTTGCTTGTGTGCCCTCGGGTTTGGGTTTGTTTTGAAAAGCACGCCCATCATCTATACACCCACTAGTACGCCCACTATATAGGTTCTGCTTGCTGGCGCTGTTGCTGCGCGCTCGTGCGGGCTCACACTGGGCGCCCACACTGCGGGCTGAAGGCGCGCTCTTGCCTTCAACAATGATTGAGCATCGTCGATAACAAGGTCAATCAGCACGCCCACTATCTATACACTATCTATACGCCCACTATATATGTCCTGGTTGCTGCGCACTCCTGCGCGCTCAGCCACACCACCACCACCACCAAAACTTGCCCATGTTGTGTGTTTGTGGTTGTGTGGTTGTGTGTATGTGGTTGTGTGTTGTTGGTTGTGTATTGTGTGTTGTGTGTTTGTGGTTGTGTTGTTGATTGTGTGTTGTGTGTTTGTGGTTGTGCTTTGTTGGTTGTGTGTTGTTAGGCACCTCTGACTTTCTGCTATGACCACTGCTACTGCTACTGCTATTTCTGCTACTACTACTACTACTACTACTACTACTACTACTAGTACTAGTACTAGTACTAGTACTACTACTATCACGACGACGACGATGATTATACTACTATTACTCCGACTCCAGCTCCTACTCCTGCAAGTGCCACTACCACTAGCGGTTACCACTCCTGCTTATGTCGTGTCAGGAAAAAGTGGTAGTTCCACAAACCCTCTTGAACTAGTAGGGCTTGGCGAGTGCTTGGAATCCTCATTCAGGGACAAACATGTAAACCATTGTAGTTCTGCAATTGCAGGTGTGCAGGACTGGACCGCTATGGCTCCAAACCGGTGGACTGGCAAGTCCAAGGGGACTGTTGCACTGCAGCACGGCCAAAACGGCCAACGTTGGGCTTTCAAGCCAGACGGAATTTGGAACATGCCGGTGAAATCCTGTGAACAAGTGCTGAGAAACACTGCCAAAAACAACATGTTCCATATTCTGTTTGCTGGTTTGGACGCTATGTGTGCCAAGCAGCCAAGCATCAGTTTTCTCCTCCTTGCGGGTTTCGTCGGAAAAAACGCAGCATTTTTTCTTCCGCGGTTTGCCCTTGGAGGGCGCAAGACTTTTCAGGTGCAAAATTCCAGGCGTCTCACGTTGTTGTTCCCCACGTTTCCCCGGCGCCACGTCGTTTCTAGGAACCGATCTGGCAAAGTCTGGCAACGAACCCAGTATGATCCCAGCAACGAACCTAGATAAAATTCAGGATTTTACAGACACCACCCAGATGAGGTTGTAAGTGACGATGTGTGATTCTATGTTTGAGCTCATCAATCTCTCCGCCCATGGCGATACCGCCAAAGTTGGTCCGATTTAAGCGTCTAGAGACTCCATTGACTCCATGTTCACTTGACCCAACCAAAAACACCGAAAGGACACATTGGAGATGGGAGGAGGGTGGCAGGATCCAAGGAATTTCACAAAAGATGAGAAATTGCAAGGAAGTCCCAAAGGTTTCCAGGATTGTTGGTTTAGTCCGAAGCACCAGTCGAGCCCTGGTTGGCCAGAAACCGTGGCCAGAAGCCGTGGCCACACATGGTGTAGCTGAATTTTGCAACCTGATCATCGATATGATTCATACGATCAACTTGCTTGACCCCAGATTTGGGAGGAGGATCCAATCAAAACGATCCATCGACGATCCACGGTGGTTTTCCTTTGAACTTGGCCAAAGGAATTGGCTTGTGCTCCTGGCTGCTTGTTGGCCTATTTGGCAAAGCTTTTGGAGCTGGCTTTGGTCTTGGCCAACTCGGCACCTCTGCTGGACGGGGATTGCCGGATTCTTCGTGGAAGGGGTGGAAGCAGAGGGTTTTTGGGGTGCTCCTGCGCATGGAGAAGACGCATTGTACCGGGACTTCTCCAAATGGGAGTAGTCCTCCCTCCAATCTCGGAAGTGGATGGCATGGTCCCTGTAAAGACCATGTTGCTCTCCAAACCAGCACTTTCTCCACTTCCAGGGGCAGTGGACTCCTCTCAGCGGGTCTACAGCGCCAGTCCTTCGTCCATCGACGCGACCCGTCTGGGACTGCCATGTCGGACTGCCGATCGGGGCTGGTGCCAGGAGGGTCAATGGATCGGCAGTCCGACGCACGGCAGTCCCAGATGGCGGTCGTGTCTGGGCATAGAAAACCGCCCCAGAACCGTCACATCCATCACATCGCTTCCAGTCCTTCGTCCGTCCTTGGGGGCCCGTGTGCCACGTCACGTGTGAAAACCACACCACGGGCGAGCACCGGCGCAACGGGTGGAGCAGAGCGAACGAACGCCGGGCCAAACAGCGGAACAGCGACGGTTGACTGCCGCTTCAGCGGACGAAAGTCCGTGGAGTCACCGTGAGGGCTCTTGGTTTCAGTCTGGGCTTCAGTGGTGTGATGTAGGGATTTGGTCAAGAGTCGGCTGAACATTGATGTTCGCTTTTTGTGGAGTTTGTGAGGAAGGTATAGACTCATAGACTGTTGATCCATTCATCGATAAAACACTTCCCCCATGTGCTAATGAATAACACTAGCGATGGCCAGAAACTCCCAGGCCATCCGGAATCGACGTCCCAGGCCATGAGTCAGACAGTGGGCACCATCCTCTTCACCTTGCGCGTGGCCGCGCGCGTGGAGTCCTCCGCCGTCTACCTGCTGCAGCACTCGGAAGGCCTCTACTAGTTGGTGGTACTGTGGCCGGACTGGCCAGGTTGGGTCGAAAGTCCAAGACACTGGCCTTGTACCAGGACCCTCCTGTCGCGGTGTCCAATGGACTACCCCACACTACCGGCCTAGGCTTCCAGACAGGGCACCCCGACAGGAGGGTCCTGGTACTTAATGTTTGTATACATGTTGTTACTGGCTTCAGTTCCTCCAACACCCCCCCAAACTCAGATATTTGATGCCATCATCGATGTCTCTGCTTTACCCCTCATGCTGGGCACTCACCTCTCCTCACCTCTCGCCAGGCAAGCTGCCCTCCACGGGGCCAAGACCGGGTGCTCTCCCCTCCAGCGCTTGGCTACTCCACGAGCTGCGCGCCGGGCGCGAGCGCTTGCGGGCCATCTTCGCGGAGGCGGAGGCGGGGCTCGGCTCGGGGGGGTGAGGTTTGGGGGTCGAGGAGGTTTGGTGCTTCTTTGCTGGCCAATTCGGGTTGGGAAGAACACATCTGATATAATTATCGAGCTTTAATACAATTATATTTATATATATATTTAGAATATAGAACTAATTAAGCGTTTTTGTCGTTTGAACCATTTCACGTAATTATAGGATGATCGTTGGAGGTTCTGAGGTTCAGATCTGACCCATGTTGGTTTGCCTTCATTTCCTCCAGTCCGTCGTGATCACTGAACGAATGGCCACGGCGGCCACGTTTGCGCCACTGCTCTGGAGCAAAAAAGTGGATCACGTATGATCAAGTGGGTTAACCAAGCGCCAAGGACCCAAGCCGGTAGTTGAAAAGGGTCTGAGGTGTGATCCTGGAAGATGGACCCGTGGATGAACCGGAACTGGAAAAACCCGGAACTGGACGAAGGAGGACTCCATCCTTTGTTCTTTTTCGGTTTCTCCCAAGAGCCTTTGTGCCCTTTTCGCCGATCTTGTTGACGTCTTTGGATGTGGGTCATGAAAAACAGGAGACCGCACGGTTGACCTACCCGGAACGTCGTTCGCTACATGGTGTACCGGGCTCTAGGTTTTGACCCATCCCCATTTCCTTTCAATGGAACTTCCTGTCGCTACCAGGGTTGGCTGGACGCCTGGCTTGAAGAGCTACACGACTTGGCTTGCAAGGCAGCAGCGGCCGCAGGCGTGCAGCGAGCGCTTGATGCGACCGCATTTTTATTGTTTCCATCCCAACGCCTTGGTGCCTGTGGCGATGTTGTTTTTTGGACACTGGAAGTGAGTCTTGTTTCAAGACTTGGGCTTGTAGGGTGTTTTTGGACACATTAGTTTAAGATTTTTCTTGTTCACCGGCAACGACTGAAACCATGTGCATCTTTTTGCTGAAGTGAAGCAGGCTACCTGAAGTTAAGCAGAGCTTCATTCCATCGTGGGAGATGTTCAGTTCCAAGAGTGGAACGCTGCATATGGCATAGGCCTGCTGTTTGATCAGCATGGACCGATTTCCAATAGAATAGATTATTCTATTGTATTCAAGTCTTAGGAGCCACTCCAGGGCTGTGGCCATATATGTCATAGACCCAGACCCTCCCTCAGCGAAGTGCAGCGGGCTCTTCCAGTCTATCTATTTCCGCCCACACCACGCCACAGGAGAAGAAGGGGGCGCCCCAGGCGCCCGAGTCAAAAAGCAGCATGCTCTGGGAAAAGCCTAAAAATCGAGTGAAACTTGATGAGGGAAGTTGAATGTTTTGGTCAAGCTGAAACTGAATTGCCAAAGAGAGTGTGAGGCAGAGGAGTCCTCTTAAGACAAATTTGCAGAGAGATGTCAAACTTTTGGCACGGGATCAACAAGCAGGATGGTCTCAGAGCAATTCGGAGTGCTTCTTTAAAAATACATTTGTTCTATAACGAATATGAAAGGTACACTGAAGAGGATATTGCCATGTTCAACGGCAAGCCTGCTCTACCAGAATTCAGTGCAACCCAAATTCATCAAACCAAAGAACTCCCATGAACATCGAACAACAGGGCTTTCGGCGACCAATCGCCAGGAAGAGGTACTGGGCCACAAGCCAAGAACAAGGCGCAGCCACTTGGTGTCAGTTTATTGAGGGCCAAGGCCCAGCCTGAATATGATGAGAGTGCATGAACTCCTCCAATCCATCCTGCATACCAGGACCCTCCTGTCGGGGTGTCTATTTATAGCACCTTAGCCGTGATTCTGGGTGTCCATGAACCACCCCTTGACGGACAGAGAAAACCGGCCGAACGAGAGAGGCCATTGGTGAAAACCGAGCCAGCGTGCATTCGACCGGCCGTTTGAACACGTTCTCGCTGGGCGTCACCTTGGTTTGGAAACGACTCAATCGAACATAAATCTATAGTCAGACGTGAAATTCACAAGGCATTGTCAAGTCAAATGGTGAATCGACACTGTTTGTTTCTTTTTCAGTTCCACTACCAGTTTTTTAGTTTTGATGCGTTTGATTTTATTGTTGCTTGATTGCTTGCTCCATTGATTGCTGTCTTTTTTGTTCTTTGCTCTTGTGGTTGTGGGTAGGGATTCCCATATTCCCATTTTGTCCGGCAATCTGATTTGCGTTATTGAGCAATACCTGGATCTTCCAACTATGGCAAAGAATTCTGCCTTTTGGCTGGTTTTATAGATGAAAAGGCATAATTTTTGCACAGTTGGAGGATCCAGGTATGGTTCTCTTGTGCTTTGCATCCTGGTTTCGAGCTGCAAAATCCAAGGCAATCGCTAGATCAATACATGAAGACTTCCTGCAACATTCACGCACACCTCCTATTGCTGCTGCGGAATGCTGCTTGGAATGCAATCAACATAGCTAATGCATGTTAGTGCTGGACAAGAAGTGAGAACACACACACCAAACACCCACCGAAGACCAAAGGCACCGCTGCCCGTTGCTTCTTCTATTCCTTGACCCATCCCATTCCACCCGGGCCCAGCTGCGGATTCAGCAGACAGGGGTGCTCTTCCAGCTGGTGGGGATCACCTTCACCTTCACCGACCGGAAGGTCCTATAGTCGAAGCCTAGGGGTGTTCTTCCAGCCGGTCAAAGCCTTGGGTGTTTTGGTCCACATGAGAAGCTTCGCTTATATAGGCGCTGACAAGGAGGTCCGGTGTGGTGATAGCGACCCCGCCGGTCTCGAGCTCTCGTTGCTGCGAGCGAAGTCGCTTCCGACTCCGGCCTCGCGTTCGCGGAGGAGGAACTACCCAAAGCACGACAACCACGCTCGCTTGGTGGTTTCCACATCTGGGTCCACGCTTCCTGAACACATGCCAATGAATATCGGACGACTCGGACGACTCTCTCGCTTGGTAGAGCTACTTCGCCCATGCCCATCTCCACAAATCAGCGATGTCTTGGCGTTCCAGATGCATGAGCTCACCTCCCAGGTGCCGGAAGAGGAGTTGGATGAACGATCGGTGAGCCGCATCTTGTCCTCGTTCGCCTTCCTCTCGCTCCACCATACCTTCAACCAGGCGAGGTCCCTCTTGGGTCAGAAGGAGAGCCATCCGAAAGCCATCCGAGACGTCTGGGGAAATCCATACGAGACGTCTGGGAGGGTCATAGCTGACAGGCTTTTGAGAAGTGGGGACAGAGTGATAGGATGTAGGTTTCACCTGATGATCGCAGACCCTTCTCCCTCCAACTGCCCATGGCTACTTGGAGTGGAGTTCATCCCGCTGTTTGGTATTCGGATTTGAGGGTCTCTTGGGTTTCAGGGCACTGCGAATCCACGTAGCCATGAGGACTTTGAAGGGTGCTCGTTTTGGGTATTCCTTTTCCAGAGGTCTATCTGACAGGAATGGAGTGAGTAGTTTGATCCACGGAACCCACAGCCAGTTGACCCAGAAACGGTGAGTTCCCCCCAAAGCCCCCTTCCTCCTGAACTGGAGCCGCCGAACGCTTAGACGATTCCTCCGTTTTTCATGGTAGCTTGAATTACTTCTGATGTTCAGATGGTCTAGGTTTGAATATGTTCGCATCTCATTCATTCTCCACAGTCTTGGCACCGGAAGAAAAGATTGGACACCATCCACATCACCTTCTAGATCTTGAACCTTCCTTGCGACCGGCCAGAATTTCTTGGACATCCCCGAGACGGAGCTCTTCGAAATCTTTCAGCATCACAGGCGCGGTGGAATTCCGGAACGGTCCGGTGCTCCGTGTGGAAACGGGTTCACTGTGGTCAAGGAAGGAAGGAGCTCCTTGAGTGAACGATGGAAAGCAAGACTAGAGGCCTATAGGCAAAGACTTGCTTCCCTGGCAAACTTTCATTCCTGCTTTGACTCCAACCCTGGTCCCTTTACAGGCTGTTCACCCTCAACCACTCTCTTTTTAACAGGCGGGGCTTGGTCCGCTGGTTCGAGAAGCAGCGGAAGAACAACGAGTACGGACGCTTCAACCGGGTTTTGCAGGAAGTCCATCAACAGCCCCTTGGCCGCCTTGGCCTTGGCTTTCCAGCTGGGCTCCAGCTGGGTGGGGGGCTTGGAGGAAGAGAATGCTTGGCATTCAGCTGGGTAGGGTAGGCGGTAATCAAACGTAAACAAACGACCTGATGGCTGATTCTTTTGTTACTTGCGGCCTGTTGATTGGTCAAGGCTGGCTAACATAGTCTCAGATGAAGAGGCCAGGAGGCGAGGACAATCATATCTTCTCGGCCTTTTGGCTATGATCAAGTGTAGTATCTGTTCTTATCAGTGTGACAACTGATATGTCTCCAACTGGAGACTTGCTTGCTTGCTTGTCACATCAATTTTTGTTGGGGAAGTGTCTTCCTGAGCTTGCTTGGGGGCCTTCGCGTGCTGTGCTGGCATGGCACTGAGCCAGTGGCAGCACACCCTATGGGGTAACAAATATATAGCTGAGGACGGAGCTAGATGTGCGTACGCGGGTCATCAACACCTCTACAGATGCGTGCCAAGCTGTGCAGACGGAAGACTTTTCGACTACAAGATTGGAGGATCACGCCATTTTCTGCGTTGAACCTTTGGTTTTCCACCTTCTTTTCATCCCGACCATCTGCTTTCAACGACCACACACATCTTCCCACAAGTACCTAAACAATCCATGCTTTTGAATCCTTTTACACCCAACGCGCCAGGGGTCCGTGGCTGTCCTCTTCTCCTCCCCACGAACCCCCACAACCCCCCACCACACGCCGAGGTTCTCCACGATCGACTCCTCCAGCAGCGTGGACACCGCCCTCTTCGAGTGGGGCGTCGTCAAGGGCGACTTCCGCAACGCCGGGCGCTACGCGATCGTGGGACCTAAGCGATCGGAGGCGGAGAGGGGCGAGGTGGCCACCACTGCCAGTGCTTGGAAGCATGGAGGGGGTGAGAGAGGGAAGCAGGGCTGCTCTGAGAGAGGCATGGGAGAGAGGAGGCGGCGTGCTGGAGGCTTAGGGATAGCTGGAACTTTTTGGCAAGGTCAGATGGGGATGGGTAGCGACCCACCTATAGTAGGTAGGCTTGGTCCACCGGCGAAAGACCTTCTGGGTAGGCCAGATGAAGACTGCTTGCAGGTGATTTGGAAGACTTCATCTGTCATCCGCTTTAGTTGGTGTCATGCACTCCATGCAAGAGCACTGTATGCCATAAAGCCTTGGGGGGGGGGCCATGTATAGTCCAGTCCCCACTTTTGATGTCTAAGAACCTCTCATTGGCTCCTTGTTCATCCTTTTGAAGCCCCGGTCCCCGTCCTGTTCGATTCCACCGCTGCGGACGATCCGTGCGGACGATCAGATGGTTTCGAACACTGAGGCAATGACAATGCATGGATCGAGCTGAATATTCAGCTGCTGCAGGCTTTGGCTCTTTTTGCGTTTGGGTCAGTCGAGTTTCTGTTCAGATGGGGGTGTATGTTATATCCCGGGATACACCCAACTCACATGGAGAACAGACGAAAGGGGGGAAAATAGGGAGGTGAGGATGCGAACAGAAGCCAAAGGCAGATGGAACATCACCACCATGAATGATTTCGGGTTGCGGGGTACTTTTTCATCATATGGGACATCCGTGGACCAAAAGACATGCCTCTCGCGCTGTTGATCCTCTTCTCGTTGGCTTGCGCACTCCAATCAGCTTGTCCAGTTGGAATCGACATCGGTTTTCCAGTGCCCATGCTGGTATCAGGACATGTGAGGGATGCAGCAATTCTCAAGAGGATCCAAAGACTCTGGAAGCACCCATGATGGATGGCAACCTTTCGACCTCCTAAATAGCTCCAAATCATGAAAACAAGCTACAAAGACCAACACTCCCCACACTTCATCCAAAGGGGCCTTGGAAGGAAGCCCCCACAAAATGCCGATCACGCCTCAACCACCAAACAAGCTGCAACCAGAGCGAGCTGCTGCCGGGCACCGCAGGTGACGGTTCGCGGACGACACGTGACGCCCTTAGAGGCCGACACGTGTGAGGATGGAGACTTCGTGGAGGCCCAGCTTGGGCGATCGAACCAACGGGGGGTGCGCTCGCCCCGGCGAAGAAACACGCCGGCAAGAACGCTGTTCCAGCGTTGGGGTGATGGTTGTGGTCGGAGCAGAAGAGGTGAGGTTGGTTGGCTGTGTGGTTGGTTGGGTTGGCTTTTGGCGGTCTCCGGGTGAGAGAAGAGGAACTATATTAGTAATTGCATGTATAGGACCCTCCAAGGCGTGTCTGTCTATTTATAGCCCCTTAGCCGTTAAGGGGTGTCCATTAACCACCCCTTGAAGGCCACGGTATAGTTGTATTTGATCTGGACCAAACGAGGAATGAAACTCCACGGACTATGAAGCTTCCGGAAGATCTTCCTATCCAAGGCCCGTGTTTCAGAATCCTCAACAGCGATTCTGCAAGATGGTGAGTCTTTTTTGTACCCCTTTCTCCACCACATTACCAACAAATCGGATCTTCCTCCAACTCATTCCTCCACCAAGCTGCCTGGGGACATTTCGGATTCTCCCAAAGGGCACTCGAACTCCCAGCAGAGAGGTCCTGAGCGGTGGTGCGGGCAAAAAGGCAGGGAAGATCGAGGGAGAGGGATGTGCTGTGGGCGGTGATGCCTGTTTTGAGGGGCTGCCTGGTGGAAGGCCATTTGTGGAAAGGTATGATTTGAGCTTCCCGGACTAAAGGGAAGCTCTCCTTTTCTTCATGCCTCCAACCTAGTAGCTTACTATATAGTTACTATATAGTAGCTTCTTCTTCTCTTTCGTTTATATCAAGAGAATCGATGTGGGTATGGGTCGGTTGGGCTCATGAACGGAAAAGCTGTAGAGGAACGGAGACTGGCACCAGGCGGTCAACTGGACCGCCCAACCATTCGGATCATCAGAGCATAGCTGGCACCGCTTCGGTCCAGGTGAAGCCCTTCCAGTCCAGGTGGTTTGATGGGTTTTTCTCCCAGGGGTGAGTCGGGTGAGTGTGAGTCTTGAAAGGGGGTCTCCCACCTGCCTCAGTCTGGTTTGCCACGTGGCGAAGGAACTCCCGAAAGCAGCCTGCTTGGGAGTGGAAGGCTTGAACGGCCGCCTTCCTCCCCAAGAAGAGCGGCACCAAACGCGGCGACCTTCACGACCTTCACATGTGCTTCGTGTCCTCTGACTGATCCTTTAGGCATCATCTGCTATACGGTATCACCGTTTTCTTGACATGTCTTCTTTCTCCACCTCCCCCCGGAGAGATCCTGAACTCCGCCGCGCCGGGAGACCCTCCGCCTTCTGTTGGGTTCCGTCCGTCTGCCCGGTCTGGGGTTGGGCGTGGCTCGCGCGGGTTTCCCGCGAGGCGGAGACGGTGCAATGTGCAGCTCTGTTGAGCACGAACTTGGTTCGGGTGCGGGAACTCTTGTGCGGACACCCAGTCGCTCCGCTCCGCTCCTCTCTGAGCGGAGAGGTCGAGTACGACACAGAAGCAGGTCGCTGTCGCTGTCGCAGCAGCACGAGTGTGCTCGTGCTCCTTGGGTGGGTTCGGAACGTCTCATCTCGGTAGGGGGGAAGGATGGGCTTCAATCCAGGAGTCACAAGACGGGGTGCCGAACTTGGAGGTTAGGGGTGCCCAGCGATGGGACCAAATACCACCCCGACATGTGAACCCTGGTCCAGGGTGTTTGTTTTTTCCCTTTTTCTTCGGACGACGTGGTGGCGCAAACTCCGTGCGGAGTGGCCCACGCCAATCGGCGTGGCGAGGTCGCAACCCTATCGCATCACTCGCTGGGAAGGTGCGGACGAGGACGCTGAATGGCTTCGAACTTGGGGAAGTTGGAGATGAAAGGGACTGGGATCCTTTTCGGACACATCTTCATGAAAACTACACCCAAGCTGCGCTGATGGGTCAGGGTTTTGCAGCACATGGGAGGTTTTTTTTTTTGAATCCGAGTCAGCAAACATCTGCAGAGAGCAGGTAGGAAAGGTTGGCTTTTCATGGTGAATGTAGGGTGTGGAAGGCCACCGGTTGTCTATGAGGTCTCAGAGCACCGAAATTCAAGATCTGCTTCTTCGCAGAGTTCTGAGTTCTGACATTGACCGCACTCAGCATATGGCAAATGTCACCCCGCCTACAAGTTTCTGAGAAAGGCAGCTGTTTAAGGTGAATGGGCTGTTTTGTGGGTACGGGATGCAAAACACAGATACCTGGAATCCACCCGAGAATCCACCAGCAGATTGAGATCTGCCAATTCTTGAGCCAGACAAATCCACCTGATCAGAGAACTACCCTCGAACGAGACGACGGGAACCGCCTCCGCCAGGCATGGCCGCGGCCAACCTGCCCTTCACAGGGGACTATGTCCGGCTCTATGACATGGAGGACTTGGTTTGCCGAGTTTCGGACTTGCCCTGAGGGTTTGGCACATCCATCTTGAGGGCCGCCATCAGTGCCGTTCAACGGTGCGAGGCTCAGAGGTCCAAGGAAGAAAGAGATTCTCCAGCTTTGGGAACCCCAGACACGACCTGTCTGGGACTGCCAAATAGGACTGACGCCCCCATTTTGCCCATCTTAGGACCACCCACCCCTGGCCTTTTCTCGGCATGGCATATCTGGCATCCGACTTCAGGGTCCGAGCCTGACCCACCGGCGCCCTTGGTTCCACCGCTCCCTCCCGCAGCCTCAAGCCAGCGTGGAGCGCCCTCGGTTCCACCGTCCACCGTGGTTCCCGGCGACGCGTTCGGCGGCGCGGCGGCGAGACGCGGGAGAGCGAGACGGGCAGTGGCCCCAAGCGGCGAGCGGAGGACTTTGAGGAGCATGAGGCCTGGGTGCCACAGCTCTTCGAGCCCGTGAGGCCCGAGGGGTTGGAGCGGCTGCGGTCTGGAAGGATGGAGGGATGGATCCATCCGGCGATTCTGAAGTTAGTAGCTCCGTTCGTAGCTACTTGCTCCGTTCGTAGTATGGCCAGGAGCCCCGTTCGGTCGCGTCCGATCGCTCCGTGCTCCGTTCGTAGCGATGCCAGGAGTCCCGTTCGTAGCGATGGCTCGTTGGACTGGGACGGACTGTGCTTTGGTCATTTATTTCCGACCGGCGCCGGTCGTTTGGTACCCGGATCGAAGCTGCTAAAACCATAATCAGATATCCTTTTCAACAGCTTTTTGGGGGTAGAGCAACGAAGCTCTGCTTGTTTCGAGCCGGACTGCAACCAAACAGTAGTTTTTCAGCTTGGTTGGTGGGGATTCTTTTTTCTTTGTCTTTTGGACATAGTTCCACACAAACCAGTGATTTTGATCTTCGCTGAATTTGCTCATCGGTGATGAGAACACTAGATTGACCACTTGCCACCGTTGGATCACCTGCAACTAGAGGGATTGTCGGAGAGAGGGGTTGGAGGGCTGAGGCCTTTTGGAGGTTTGATTTCCACCGTTTTGGCTCAAGCTGTAGCAAGTGCTGTAGCACCACCGGCCGAGGACGGACACCACCATAGACTATATATAGTCCCTTCACATCGTGTTGAACGGTGGAAGTGCTTGAGCATGAGGCAGACATCAACGATTCTTCCGAGTGTTGTTCTCTCTTGCAAATCTGGCATCTCACCTGCCATCCCACCATCCCACATCCATCCCATCTGAAAAAACAACGAACCTGCGAGGTTGTTGAACAGAAAACCAATGAAAACCATCCCACCCTTTGAAAAACCTCCCATCTTTCCTTATCTCCATCCCTTTTCCCCATTGTTTCCAAATGGCTCGCGATGCCGAAGCCCCCAGCACCGAGCTGGGCCGCGGCTCGCCCCAGCGCCGCGAGCTGCTGCTGGACGACGCGCCGGCGCCTGGCGCGGTGGAGGAGGAGGGCGCCGAGTCTGAGCCGCCGCCGGTGCGGAGCCAAAGCGAAGACCAGAGCTGGTAGGGGTGGTTGGTGGGGAGGGGAGGGGTAGGTGGCTGGTTGGTGGGCTGGATAGATCTGGATAGGTGATTGGGATCGTCTAAGAGTCTATTTTGTTCTGCCTTGTTGGGAGGTGAACAAATGGGAAAAGGGCGGAAAGGGGAGGTTGTAGTCTTTTTTGTTCCCTGCTTTGAACTGCCACATGAACTTTGAGGGCCCCTGCTTCCAGGAGCTTCCACCCAGCAGGACAACAACCATGAACCATCATGAACCCAAGTGGCGTGACCAACATGGTTTGCTCGCACCTTAACATCATGGCACCACCCCAAGTAGAGCGTTTCGAGATAGAACAGGTTCTATTGAACAGTGCACAATCCACAAGGGTTCTGCCTATTAGTTGGGCTCTTTGGTGGCTCTTCACCAGGGTGGCCTCGGTGGCCAGACCGTCAGACGACGAACGAGAAAGAATGAGTAATCCGATGCGTTTGGAATTGCGGATGTGTCTCAGTTGGTGTGTTTGGGTGTTTTTTCCGGAGAGCTGCTAGCTACCGAGAGCCAAACTGCACGGGTGTCCGAGAGCGGATTTTGCTTCGCCAGCGGCCTCTGAGGATCCTTTTGTTGGCGTTCTTGATCATGTTCCAAGGGTATGGCGTGATGAATGGCAACCCTGCACATGCCTTGAAGACGAAGCTGGAACTTCGACCCGACCAAGCAGGCTGCTGGAGGGGCAGGGTTGCCAGATGTTTCGGGGAGCGTCCGCTTGAAGCAGGTGCAGAAGAGAGTCCTTTGGGGTGTCCGGCAGGCCTGAAACTTGTGACCCCCCCATTGCCCTCCATGGTCAATCCAGAAATGGCCGTTCTTTTGATAGCCACCCTCACCCCCTTCGCGGTTCCTTGCAGGTCATCCCTTCATCCCGCCACCCTCGGTGGTTTGTCAGCTTCACCGCCCTCGGCACGGGACCCCCCCATGTTCCGCCCGGTTTCGGGAGGGCCGATCTCGGTTCGCAACGCGACCAACACGACCGCTACGACGGGGAACTCCCCGGGACGCGGGACGTGACCGGCGTTTTCAGCCAGGGGCATTTCAAGATGCCACGGCAGCTTTTCAGCTCTCCAAGCTTCTCATGCGAGTGCTTCAGATCCTCGGTGCCTCTCATTCGGTGACTTGCTTCGGTGCATTTCGTGCGGTGCGGTGCGCGTAAGATGAATAGCCAGCGGTGTGAGGACACAGAAGCCGGTTTGGTGTCTTGACCTCCCTTGCAGTACTCAACCGCTCTGGATCCCCATTGAACATGCTTGTGGGTTTGAGTTTCATCTATTCGGTCGGCGAATCTGTAGATGACCAGCGCGAGCACAGTCCCGTTGCTGTGCCCACATGTTTCTTCTAGCGCGATTCGTGGCGGTGGGAACACAAGCAACTCTCCAGGGCCGGAGCACGGCACGGTCATGTTTAGTTCCATTTGTTCAGCAGAATTATCATTGCTGTACTCAGAGCAGCCCCGTAACTTCGCACAAGCGATTAAGCGATTAGCCCAAGCGATTATATAAGCCATCAACCGCATAGCCAAAGCGATTAAGTGATTAAGAAGCGATTGAGCGATTAAGCTGTTACAGACGCAATCTGAAATGAAAAGAGGTTTTAATGATTCATGCAGTGCAGCGAGACATACACACAAAGATCAAGGCCAGTAAATCTAAAAATTGAAGTCTAAGACCTACCATGTACTGAAGAACAACACATTTTAAGAGTAGTTGACTGGACTCCCAAGCTGGTCGGTGTATGCTTTCTCTCAGACCGCTTCAACCACTTCTTCGCCTCACCGGGGCGACCGTCACGCCCGAAGGTCGGTGGGTTTGAAACCGCTTTCCGACCCGCTTCGAAGGTCGGTCGGTGCCTGAGGATTTCCTTGTTGGCCTTTCTACAGCCGAATGGCATTGTCTATCTGTCCTATGCGGTGATGTTTGTGGCGATCCTGATTCCCATCATCTTCGTTTGGGGTGCTGACATGAAGGATAAATGGACGCCTTGACGCTGTATCGATGAGTTGGAGATAGGGCGATAGAAATATCAATCCCCTATAGGATAAGACAACGATTGATGTATACAATGGTCTTTACCCAACGAATATGGTTCTACTAAGGATTTTAGACTACAACACCAAGTCAATCAGAATTTTAACGATTTTTGAAGACAATTCGGGACTCCCCAAGGCCAAATGCCCAGAGAAACTGCCCAACAGTGTGCCGTTTTGGGCAGCGACCGGATGGTGCAACCAAGTTTGGGTGCACTGTCGGCTTTGTGTTTGTACCATACCTCCAAAAGGATCAACATGAAAGCATGGCCCCTGCGAAGGCCAGCTACCTCTGCAAACAGGTAGTTTTCCATTTCCAAGTTGACTTTGAAATTCCTGCAACAAGAGCGGATCAACTTTCCCTAGAAGTCCAGTTCGACGATTTTCGGCACCACCCAAGTAAAGTAAGTTCCTGAACTCGGATCACCAAGTCAGACCGTTAAACAAGTATGGTCGACCGGACCTTCAGGGTTTCTCTCGGGTTTCGCTGGTTTCGCTCGCTCCGCTTGGGTCAAGCAGACCGGAATTCTGGCCTCCAGGACTTGTCCATCGTATATCTTCAATATACTCTGGGAGGCATTGCGATCGGCCTTTTCGAAGGAACCTTCTTGAGCGTCATCAGCGTGCTGGGAAAGAACACCAAGACCTTTGCGAGCCTCAGAAAGCAGGGAGGATGTTGCACAATTTTACATATGTTCATTCATTTTGCCAAGTCGGACATCTCCATTTTTCTGGAACCTCCGCTTGGAAGGTATGCTCTCCGATTTGGGAAAAAACCACGAGGCGGCACCCCCGCTGTTCAGCCCTGCTCCCGGCGAGTGATTTTCAGACTCCGAAACGGTCGCTCGCGAGGCGATCGTCTCCGAAACGGTCACCGGCGAGTCGCACGCAGTGTGAGACAACCCAATCGCTCGTCCCGCGACCGGGACTGGACTGATCCAGTTGGGGTGGGGCGGAGCTGAGGTCAATTTTTGGATCTACATCAAACCGAACCTCAGGTGAGGTCATTGGACCTTCCAAGCCAAGCTATATCAATAGTCTCCAATCATCTTCTCATCAAATGCCAACAGAGGTTGAAGGACCTGAACTAGACTATCCCAGTTCGGTATCCCAGGTGACGGGTCCTAGTTCAGGTCACTTGACCTCTCTTGGTATGCCAGTCCCATTGACAGCGAAGTCGTGCCGGTTTCGGTGCGCGGTCCAGGTGCCGTGTTTGGCCCACTCGTTCCTGTCCGGGTTCCGGTGCGCAGAGTCTTTGGCTCGGTGTCCCGGAAAGACTTCCTTAAGACCTTTGAAACAACTGGTTCACCGGGTTTTGTGGTGTAAACTGAGTAAATACCATGGTGCTTCGGGTTGATCTACCTTCACTTCAGGGTGCTTCGGGTGGGGACACTCAAACCAGGACCGGTCCTGGTTCGCACACGGCGCCGTTGGGACCGGTCGAATCCTTCAGGATCATGGGCGCTCCGTTGGGCTTCGCGGTGCACAACATTCTGCTGGGCAGCCTGGTCCCCAAAGGCGCCGCAAAAAGCGACGAGCGAGCCGAAGCCAACGGCCGGTATTGGGTGCGGCACGCGGCACGCGGCACGCGGCACGTGGGACGTGCGTGCGTGGGACGTGGTTTCACGTGGGACGTGGGACGTGCGTGGGAAGCAGTTGGGACATCAACAGGAGAAGGGAAACGGGTGATGTGAATGGTCATGGGTGATGGCTGTCGGCTGTCCGTCCGTGGCTGGTCCGAAGACCTCGAAAACCCGGAACACCACGGAGCGGTCCGGTGTCCGGATTCTGGTTCGACCGGACACCGGGACATGGAGTGTAACATCTGGTTTTTTGGCTTTGAGGGGGGGGTTGACATATCATCCATATATGGTTTATGTAGAAATGAGTGTTATCGG